ACATAAATCTAAGGCAGACAATTTTAACATAAATCTAAGGCAGGCAATTTTAACATAAACCTTAGGCAGGCAATTTTAACATAAATCTAAGGCAGGCAATTTTAACATAAATCTAAGGCAGGCAATTTTAACATAAATGTAAGGCAGGCCTTTTTAACATAAACCTTATAGCAGGCCATTTTAACATAAACCATGGCAGGCAATTTTAACATAAACCAAAGGCAGGCCTTTTAACATAAAACTTATGGCAGGAAATTTTAACATAAATCTAAGGCAGGCAATTTTAACATAAACTAAGGCAGGCAATTTTGGCATTAAACTATGGCAGGCTATTTTATCGTAAATCTATGACAAGCCATTTAAATCATGGCAGGAAATTTTAACATAAATCTAAGGCAGGCCTTTTAACATAAACCATGGCAGGAAATTTTAACATAAACTAAGGCAGGCAATTTTGACATTAAACTATGGCAGGCTATTTTATCGTAAATCTATGACAAGCCATTTAAACATAAATCTAAGGCAGGCAATTTCAACATAAATCTAAGGCAGGCCTTTTTAACATAACTTATGGCATGCCATTTTAACATAAACCTTATAGCAGGCCATTTTAACATAAACCATGGCAGGAAAATTTAACATAAATCAAAGGCAGCAATTTTAACATAAATCTAAGGCAGGAAATTTTAACATAAACCTAAGGTAGGCAATTTTAACATAAATCTAAGGCAGGTAATTTAAACATAAAACTTATAGGAGGCAATTTTTACATAAAATCATCTGACCCTCTGTAATTACATTCTAGATATATAAAAATAAGTTTTGACATTTTAATGGGTCAAAATGTAAATCAAGATATCTTAAATATAATTATGAGTCAAAATGACATTTTTAGGTATCTGAATGAAAGAATGACATGTCCAAATTGCCTACAGAATTTTGGGTGGCTTTAACGACTAACAATAAAGTATTTTTTCTGTTTTTCTAAATTCATGCTGAGCTGCATCTAAAATCCTGTTAAAAACACTAGAATCTGAGTTGGACCGACCTGACACTAAAGATAAAGTAAGAATAAAATGTTTAGAAACTTTTTGCCAAAATGCGTCAAAAATCTGTGATGCTTTGACTCGACAGAATAATTATTCAAGATATCTTGAACTCATTTGGAGAGATCTTCAAAGAAACTTTGACTTATCACAACTACAGCTCTAGATATCGCTAAGATAAATTTGCTGAGTCTTTTGGTTTCTAGACACGCGCAGTTTAATTTGCACTAGTCAGATCTTTATATGTGAWATCTAAAACTACACCTTGACTTGAAGCTTCCATACAACCTATTCTGACATAAGTAGAGATAATTTAACAAGTCAAGTCCTAAACCCATTTCAGATATCAGTATTTAAGTGGTGAATTTTATGTTAAAATGTCCTGCCAGCAACCACCACATTTGATTCTAAATCTGTAAAACTGAGTCGAATAGCTGCGGTGGCCATCTTGAATTAACTTTGTTCTTTTAAGTTTTGTCTGCCCAGTGATTCATGAGATATTTTGCTAACAGGGCACTGAAACGAGCCCACAGACTCGTCARTAACAATATAAATCTGTTCTGAATATTTGCGTTAATAATTTACGGGGTATTAGAGAGAGCGAGTCAGCGAGCAGCTCTGTGGAGTCTGAAGTTTTATCTTTACGTCTGCGGTCGGAGCAGCTTCACGCTCACACAGGAAGTAGGAATGAGCTGGTTTTCCTGTTGCTCTTCATCTAAATTAGATTTAGTTTTCACAAGGATTTCTGCTCGCCTGCTAATCCTGCTGCTGATGGTGTGAAAACTACAGGAGYGACCTGATGTTTGCAGCCGATAACCTGGAGATCCAGCTGCTGCGTGCTGGACCAACAAATATGAACTGACTAAATAWGCAGTGTTGTATAAAGTACCTCAAAGTGATACTTGAGTAAAAGTACAAGTATCTTATCATAAAAATACTTCGGTAAAAGTTCAAGTCTTCTCTAAAAATATTACTTGAGTAAAAGTCTTAAAGTATCTGATATTTTTTGTACTTAAGTATCGAAAGTAAATTTCT